CCCCTATAACACTGTTGATAATTCCGTGTTATATGAATTCCATGTTGTACGAGTCACTTAGATTTTACAAATACGTGAGCCGTTCACAGCCCGGCACACGTATTTGTAAAATCTAAGTGACTCGTACAACATGGAATTCATATAACACGGAATTATCAACAGTGTTATAGGGGGGTCTACTGTATATTGATACACATTACTGTTTTGTATATAGCCTATATTTGTGAATATATGTGACATAAAAATACACACACTCAAGCACGCTTGCGACATATCTATTCATATGTATTCAAAATCTGTAAAATATGCAATAATCATTCGATTGTTCTTATTATATAATCTAAATCATTGTAATTAATATCAAGGCGTGATGTATTTCTTTAATAGCTGACCAGCTCAACTTGTAAGTTTAATAATAATAATAATATCGACTGAATAAAAATATTAATCTAATAACTTTCATCCCTTTCACCACTTATATAAAGTATATACAGTTTAAATTTATAAATAGATGGCTGAAAAATATTTATAAACGATTATTTAGTGAAAAAATGCCACCTGCACAGTGTTCTGGAGTAGATCCCGAGGATCTGCACAATATCCGTCCTTTCTGTTTAATCTCTAGAAAATCTCTTTAATCCCTCGTCTGAAAAACTGTTTTGTTTCAGTTGTCTATCTTAAAATTACTTTTATGAATGAAATATTTGTTTGTATTTAAAAAAAAATTTTCTCCTCCCTTTTTGATAAACAAAATATTGTTTATGATGCGATTAACAAGTTCCTCCTCCTCCCTAATAACTCCATCGGGGATCTTAATAAATGTAACGAAGATGTAATGGCTCCTGTCTGGAAGAGACAGTTATTGAGATGAGTTGACTGCCAATTAAGCGTGACTGGCAACTTCGTTAAACATGCACTTCCTGTGCTAAACATAGAGAGTGCCAAATAAGCTGTTTTTTGAACTTCGACGACTCCGTATGGTTGAATTTTACACGAAAATTTTAAATTTATTGTATGTAAAAAATACGGGAAATTACAATTAAATTGATGTTAAGTTAATCAATTGAAATGAATAACCCTACATATTTTTAAATATCCATAAATATTAATTTATTACTTCATAAACTATGCAGGTGAAATGTTTCGGTGCGCTTTCTGTATTAATTTAAGCATTTATAATCAATAAATAGGATGTTTAAGCCTTATTTTCTATGTTAATATTTGAGAATTGAGACAGTACTGTACAAAATACTATTGTTTAGGGTCAATATCAGATTTGTATTACTACCCTTTGTTAGTTTTTCTCGTGAAATCAGTCGAACCGTTGCTAATAGACTGTTTTTAATTTCGAACATTTGGCTAAATTCACATTATTAATTTTAAAAAAAGCTTTAAACATGAACTCATCTGTCTAGTGACCATTGAGCTTTTACCATGCATTTGTCATGTCGAACGTTGTATAGTTCGGAATGATGAATGTCGATGGGGAGATTAAGTATCTAAAATATCGAGTTTGACGGGCTGTTAGAGTGATAAATGATATTAAAAAACTTGAGGATTCCATTTTGAACTTTGGTTAATTTTATGATTTATCGCCGCAGTTCGTCTAGTTGCCGAAATAGTTTACATTTTTCTTTTGGGAGAGGGGTGTCCAGAGAAAGCTAGCTAAGTAAATCGAAAGTTCGAAAAGCTAGCAGTGACTTAAAGTAATGCAGTGAGCTATAAAAATTCCTATAAAGATTTTAGATAGGTCTAAGTAAGATTCTCCCATATTAAATGCTGTTCAAAACTGATATTCTATCAATTTGAAGATCAGCAAAGCTTCGTTATGTCAATTTATCGATCGAGGTTTTGAAAAATGATCATCGGGTCTTGGGAAAGGGCTTATTAGGTCATTACGCGTCTATGGGGAAATCCATCTCCTAAAAAGCCCGACCAAACGAAATGCAATAGGAAGAAAGCGCAATATTTCTTGTAATTCAACGATAAGAGTGGGCAGGATTTTGTTGACGGTCGTTAAGAGTAAATTGTGCAGAAACAAATATTCCTACGACAAAATGAATGGCTGTGAAGAATTCTTTTTTTAGTCGTGCAAAGATTAAAAAGTTCTGTTTTAAAAATGCCAAAGAAAAATCAATTTCCAGTTTGATCGAATTTTAAAAATATAAAATACAATAATAAAAATTTCAATTTTGAACCAAAGAATTTATTTATTTTTTTTCGGTAATGAAAGGTAAATATTTAATTAAAAAAATAAAAATAATAAAATTTATTCTGTTTTAAAAATTAAAAAAAAATATCAGCTATAAAAAAAGTTAATTTCTACAAGAGTTAAAATAATAGAAAGATTTTTTTAAGTTAGAAAAAAGAAATCGCTTTGAAAATGAGCAAAAATTCGTGTTTCAGAAACACAGAGCGCCACCGAGGAAGTAGACAATTTTTACTTAGGACGTCATTCAAACAGTTTAACACCCTTTAACTTTAGGAACTCGTGAGAACATTCTTTAAGCCGCGAAACATAGCAAGTTCGTCTCCGAGGTGTGAAACGAGATCCAGATAGAAGGCTGTTGGATTATACAGCAAGCAGCTGCTGTCGGACTTGTCCTTGTAATATTAGATGGTAAACAGTCTGTCACAACATCAACCCATCTTTTCCCGTTTGGTAAGTCTTTTTATGCTGATTCTTCGATAGTTTGCCTGTATAAATCTTTTAGAAAACCCTCGGATTAGATCTTGTTTTTCATTTTACTCGCTTTTGGATATCATACATAGGCGTCGAAAATCTATATGCAGCTTTTTTTTTTTTTTTTTAAAAAACTTCTCTGTTTTCAATCGGGATTTTAATCATACACCCCGAAGCACGAACGTCAGTGACAAGCGGGCATCTGGTTATAATTAAATATACAAAAGATATCGGCGCGTTAACAACTTTACTTGTCTTAGCATTCATCAATGTCCTCATCAGGATACGCATTAACAAACAGATTTTAGAGTGTATTTATTGGTTTGTGCTGGAATGGCTTTGTTTATAATGGATTTATGTAAACAGTTCGTAGACAGTGAAGAACTGGGTGCAACACACTCGTAAAAACTCTGTTTTATTAGGTAGTGTTAATAGCTGAAGTATTTCGAAATCTAAACTTTGTACGTGTATCGACGTCCCGAAAGCAACGTTTACGAGCGGTCGCACGCATTGTTAGATTTAAAAATTTTTACTGTTATCAAACCAGTTTATAAATGAATCCTATATAAATTTAAGACGAAATTAAATGCCTGGAGATGCGGCGAAACTTTTTTAATGTAGATCTGTTTGCAAATGCCATGCCTTAATACTCTATGCTCGAAGGTTAAGTTGAAATTTAATGCAATATATAACCTTCATTCGTACTTTTATAAACTTGCCTACTATAATATTTCGCATTTAAAAGCTGCATTATATCTATTAATATATATATTTTTTTATATTCTTTTAATCATCATGCGCTCGCTTCGTGCTTGTTAAAAGTGCCTAAGTGCTGGAAGAAAGAACATGCATTATTCTTTAGTCATTCGTCCGTTTAAAAACATGCTGTTCAAAAGATGTTTTAGTTGTATCGATCCTCTCAAGCGCGGTACTGTAATTTAAATGTTTATCGTTAAAATCGGACATGAAGGAATCTGCTCATTTAATGTTCCATAGTGATATAAAAAAAATTACAAGCGATTCTTTCGTATCTGAAACAACCTCCTAGTAATATGATTATGTAATCATCCCATCTAACAAGTAAGTAGTAATGGGTTGTGTCTTTACAGGTCAACAACATCGAGTTTTGCTTAGCGTTGTTAGTGGATTTGGGTGTTTCCACGCAGAATATCACTAGTAAAGGTCTGTCTTGTCTTCCTTTTATCAATCAAAATATTTTTCTATATTTATTAATAATAGAATTTTAAATTTAAGTAAAATTTACTTATATAATTTAGTAGATACGAGATTATTATTTTTCAATAATACTAATAATTTAGCCATTTTAAAAGACGATACTACCGATTTATCTCACCTTTAATGATTTAATTCAAATATATTCTTATTCTAATTTATATAGTTTGATCATTATTACAATGTGGAATTTCTAAATTTTCTCTCTTACGGCTGTTTTTATTCCCGAATTTAACATACACTGAATTATGTTATACTTTAATTAACAGATAAACGGTAAATCCATATTATACCGCTATATATCTACCTAAAAATAGATTCCGACAGTAAAAATGTTTTACGTCCTTTTAATAAAATACCAAATCACCAATTTACAGCGACATTTCCTGTGTTTAAACAGAATTTTTAATCTTGTTCAGACAAATAGAAAATCGTTAAAGCATAAACATCCCACGAATTAAGCATTAATCAACTAATAGTATTGTATTTATAATCTCAATTTAAAATTTAAACTCAGAGGGTAGGTCTATCACATTATATTGTATTACATAACTTTAAAAAATATATTTATAATAGTCGAAAATTCTACCATTTTTGAAAATTATAAATTGGCATTTACATCTTAGATCGTATTTTAGATGTAAATATAACAAATATAGATAGATATATTCAATGTTTATTTTCATATTAAAACCGCGTTTAACAATTACAAAATAAAAGCTCTATAAAATTTTATTACTTTAAGATGCACGATGTTAATCCCAAATAGAAATCCCTCCTCTCCCTTTTCATTCTCCGAATGGTCGAAATAAATGTAGTAAAACGATTATTTGTGTATTTCGGCACGTTTCTTTCACTGTAAAAATTTACATACTCCGGATCATCTCTTCCATTAAAGATGAAATTCCGCAGGCACTGATGTGTTTTTGTCTTCTTAAACCAATACATATTTTACTAGAGTAGAGTTTTTACGGGGAGACAAAACACGTGGAAAATATCGGCCGAAAGCAACGAATAACTGGATATTCTTCCATCACGTACAGTTTTATTTTTAGAATCTGATAAGAAAAAAGGTTCTTCGGTGATAAGAATAGATATTAGCAATACTACAGAAAGGTTTTTTTTTTTTTTCGCTCTCTCTTTTATTTCTCCAAGACTTTACTGCGGCTGTAAACTAAAGAAAAGTATCGATTTGTAGAGATTATTCTTGTGTATTGTTGCGATGAGTGGCGCCATCTGCCGCTTATCAAATCATTTTTTTTTCCTGGAGGGACGAAATTTTTTGCTTTTAAAATAATGGATTCTGAATTATTTATAAGCGTTTTTTTTATTGTAGCGGACAAAAAACGCTGATGAATTATTCAATATTATTATTTTTTTTCAAGTTTAAAGTTGTCTATTTATGAATCAGATTACTACTTTACATTCTCTTGGTTGTAATAAATTTAGAGCAGTTTGAATTATGTTAAAAGATTATAAAGAGGAGTGGACTTTAGATTGTGTTACGTCTTTCTTTTTCGTAAAATTCTGAGTGTTAAACGAGGTCAGAAGATGGTCTGGTTTGATTTGTAAATTCTGTGAATCCACTATTATGCAAGGTTTTCTACTCTTAATGGATGGCACGTACAACTTTCTATGGTAAAAAGTGCACTCTGTATATAAATTTAAATATCGATTTGTTTATAGAGTCAACAGATCTAATGATTTAGCTGAGTAACGTTCATTAAATATTATTATTTTTTTTCCCACCCCTCAAGTTCGTTAAAACAGAGGAAAAGCAACGTAATTGAAAGCTTTTCTGTTACATATTTGTATACATAAATGATTACAATCAAGGTCGCACTCTTACATAGAAAACTCATCGGCAGTTATTTAATTCCTCAAGAATGTCTGATGATTAGAAATATTTTTATTGGGTTAAAATGCTGTCTAGAGATAAACCGCTGTTATTATTTTGAAAGTTACACGTGATTAATTCGTAGCGTATTTGAAAAATTTAGCCCGTTGTTCACTAAATAAAAATTATATTAAATATTTCAGACATCAAGGATGGAAATCTGAAATCGATTTTGAGTTTGTTTTTTAACCTCTCGAGATATAAACAGGCACAGAAAGAGAATTCGGCAACGTCTAACAGTATTAAAGAAAATAAAATAAAACGCCCAAATATTAATTGTACCTCCGAAATGCCTTCGAAGTGAGTATTAATATTTAAACTTTTTATAATCTTTAAATATATAATAATTTATATATTTTTTTTAGACTTCCCGCTCCTTTTAAACCCGCGAGTCGCGAATCTTCACCAGCTTCAATCAGTCATATTCCAGCTCCCACATCAGGAAACACACGAAAACTCAATCAGATAGAAAGGCCACAGCTAACAAAAACTACAACTAATAATACTACAGGTGAGTGATACATTATCTTAATTTTTAAACGTAATTGTTAAGTTAAAAAAAAAAGCATAAATTATTTAATCTGTTAATGAAATGCCACAATAAATTAGTGAAAAAATTCCGATTCTCTTTAGATGCGAAACATGCATTATCCTTTACGAACAATATCTAGCGACATCGGGTGGAACTGTTATTTAATTTAAAAATTTGCGTAACAATGGCTTAGCTCTTTTGTTATTCCTTTCTTTCTTTCTATTTCTTTTTTTACTCGGAAAAAATACAATAATGCTTTCTTTTTATTGCATATTGAAAACACGCTTTTGCTTTTAAGCATTTTACAATGTGTGCAAATGAAATAAAAAATTAATAAAATGTTTATCATCATTTATATATATGAAACAAACATATTTTTCTATTTATAGTCTAAGCTTCTAAGCAATTATTAATAAAAAGAAAAAAATGTTTTTTTATTTTCTAAAATTAGTGTGAATTTTGTTTATGATTTTACATTATCCCTTCTAACTTAACTCCGTTTTAATTGTGTAATTAAAGTATAAAATTACCTTTTTAAATAGATTTAACGACGTATTTTTCTTCCGCATCATATTACCAAATATGTAAATTTATTTAAGAGTTAAAATATTATATATATAATGTAAATACTGTGTTTAAATCGAACTGTAGGCTATATTATATATTTCATATAAAGTTTAATTTATTGAATTTAAATACTGTAGAAAAGTAAAGAAATTTAAAGAATTTAATTATATTTTATTCGAAAATATATGATTTTCTCAACATTTCCTATGGATTTCGTAATTTTTCTTCAATCGTCGATTAGGTTTCACGTACTGTAGCTCACAAGTGGGTATTTAAAAACAAACTAATTAATGATATTGACAGATTTTTTTTGAAAGAAACGTGCATAATTATTGTGCATAAAAGTACATAAATGTGAGAAAGAAAAATTAATCGTACTTTATTCTTTCACCGATAGATGGCGACACTAACCGTTTTAGAGTAATTTGATCCAATGATGAAGGATTAAACTGTAATGCATTAATTACTCTCCAATGCCTTTTCTTAGCACATGTTATACTCATATGATATAAAACTTTTATAATTAAATTTTCATATAATATATATAAGAAGCGATTGGTCAGTGTTTTTCTTCATCCCATCTTGGGATCTTAACACAGATGTTTATCTTCCATTTTACTCTGTTTATTTTTCTGCATTACAAATAGTCTCACATGTTTAAATGATAGAAAAACAAAAGATTTAAATTCAGAACGAATAAAGTTTTTGTTTTTTTTTCCTCCAGATATCGGAATAATAATAGATTATATATAAGCCTGTTATTATTCTATATATAGGCTATATCCAATGTATTTTATTTAAAACGTTTTAATATAATTTCATAAACTCTTTTATGAAATTTAATTAAAACATCCTTCCCATAACAATTCTTGTTTCTAATGCATTATAATAGTAAATTTAAAAATTGCAAGTAGTAAATAACAAATTTGAATCAATAAAAGCATTTTAGATTAGATAAATATTTGGTTTTAAAATATAAATATTTATTATATACAAAATGCTATATAAGAATTAAATTTCATATCAGATTTTAATTGAAATTTGTATTTTACTATTGATATTTTAATAAAAAATTTCGAATTGCAAATTGTAAAAAACTAAGCAAAAAGAAATACCTTTTAGTTGAAAATACTTTAGAAAATTATAATTACAATTAGACTACATCGACACAAAACATTAAGAGAAACATCATTAATCTGTTATTAAATTAATAGGTTCTTTATTCAACTTTTTACCGTCAGTTCTCTTGTATTTAATATTTTCCTCCTGGGAAGAATATTAAACGAACAGTATCTGATTGTGACCTTTCACTTACTATATAGCTCCTACTATTATCACTATATAAATAAAACCCTAGCTTACACTCTATTTCTTTTTTTAAACCATAACAAACTGCCTCACACATCCATACTAAAAGTTTATCGAGGAAATTTCTCTGTTATGTCTTTCATAATCCACAGAAGTCAATTTTTCTCGGAATGCCAGCAATTTTAGAAGCAGGATCCCGCCACCAATCAGCAAATTCCTTCTTGCAGTATCCGAGATACGACTCTTTCATTCTGCACTAAACAGTTTCAACAGTAAAATGGTACGGGGTGGATCTACCATTCTCAGTGAGAGGGTGGATAGGTTGTCAAGCGATAATGCAAACCGACCCTACAAAGGAAGAACTAATCACAAGAAGGATAAACATCAGGCGCAATAGTCCGTATTGCTTAAACTTGGATATATATGCATGTAGAAACTCTCCCACTTATCCTGTTGCTTAGCAACCGTACAAGGGATATGAAATTCGATGGGAATACATCGATCCAAGCTTTGATGTAGTAAAGCAACAAAGTTTGTACTGTAAAAATCTTTTCAAATTTCTCTTCCAAATTTACATCATTAGGAATGTCTGATTGTTAAAGGTTTGCATGCGATAACTTCTATTTTTACAATTATCTTAATCGTATTCTGAAAAATGAAGTTCCTACTCCAGAAACTTAATTTATAATCAGATTAAAGGCAGGAAATTGAAACATACACCCCGTCGAGAAGTAACGTTAACGTTTAAATTGCTGCCACGTGAACGGTTTAATTGGAAACACTGATAGAGAAAACTCTTAATACGTAAACATTGATAAATGGGATGCATCATACTATATTTTAGATGTTTCGCAACAGACATCTAAGCAGGTGGTCCACAGATGTATAGAATTTCCTTTTTTAGTTTTCAAATGTTAGTGTTATGAGTGTAATCTTCTCGTGGAAGGTGTAGGGATAATCTTTTTATTTCATTTAAATACTATTTTAGTCTACTGAAGCAAAACTTTTTCAAAATGTTTTCAATTAAAAAGTTAATCGAAATCTATAGATTAATTAATTAATTAAATTAAGAATTCTGCACAAATTTCCTTTTAACCATGAAAATTCTACTTATTAACTTGGAGATTAGTTGAAATTTTATCGTTCAAATTTAAATTTCTGATAATTTTAATAATTCGAAACGCTAATATTTTAAATTAATTATTTCCTTAATGAGAAACTGATTAAATCCATATAATGTTAGAATTTTCGCTCTTGACTTCCTTAAAGTTGCCAAGTTTTAAAGGGATAGAGATCATAAATTTTCCTTGTCCCTCGACGCAAGGCACCAGTCCTTCCTCTGAATAGGCAGAATAATAGTAATTAGAATTGCCCAGAATATATTAAATACTTATAAATTTGACGAAGCAAATTCAAATAACACATTGAATGACAGATTATTTTAAAATTCGATAATTTACAATAAAATTTACATGCATGCATATACCACATGAAGTATTTTTTCTCTTAAAAAAAATAAATCTAAAGGATAGATAATAAGTAAGGATCATTTCCAGGATTATAATATGATTCTGGAAATTTCATAGAACCTGTAGAAAAAAATTAATTCGAATTATCTTATATAAATAATTTTTTAAATTGCTCTTTTCACACAAATGCTGTTATTTAAATATAGGGCAAGTCTCATAGACTTCTATTCAGTTTTTAAATGACACTCGATTCTAATTTGACTCAACGAACGTAATCGGATCTCTTATCATACACAAATGCACATTATTTTCTCAGTCAAGTTATTCGTGTCTTAATCACCATCTGGTTTAGGTTTAGTTAAATATTTACATGTACTCTTCATCTATCTTTAGAACTTAACAAACCATAATCGACAGCACTGTCTGTACTTTAATCGTTTTCTTATTGAAAAGTTAATCACGTTAGTGGATAAAGCTTAGAAATTGAAAAAAATAAAGTAAAATAAAATAAAGGAAACGGCTTAAAATTCTAAAGCAAAAAATTCGATTTCAACTGGACAATTCTTTGTTTCCCTCTAGAGGTAGATGAGATAAAGAAACTCGTGATATACTCTTCTACAATTATCTACCTGTTCCCAGCGGGTCACAGCCCTCGATTGAACCTCGTTAACTGTGGTGGATTAAAAAAAAAAAAAAGGGAAATACTTTCTTACGTCATCGCGCGAAACTTAAGATGCCTGTAAGGTCGCCGTTGATACGCCGAAATCAGCTGATGTTCTCCCCTCCTCCATCCTGCTCCTGACCCCTAAGCATGACTCAGTGCTTGGGACGACGGGATAGCTGTTCTCTCTTCCCCAGTTCTGTTTGACTCGCAATACAACACAAGCTCGAGCTGACAAAGGAAAGCTTTGTTGTCGCATAAGGTGAGATGGCTTGTTTGTTTTTTTCTTATTGGACGCTACATCCAAGTAGTTTGTAAATCTTATTAATCTTTGTCTGTATCGAATCAAATTATACTTTACATTTGCTGACATATACTTTTTCTCTCCCTTTCTTATAGATAAGGTCATAAAGTTATTTAGTTTTACTGATTGCTTTCGAAATATTTTATTCTCATTTAATAAATTAATGTCATTTGTATACCTGCTGTGTTTTTTTTTTCAATACAACTGAATGTTTAAGCTTTAAACTTCCTTTTAGAACGAGCTTTTATTTACTTAAAACGAACAAAATTAACTAATGTGAATTGAAATGTGTGTTTTATTTAAAATATTCTAAAAATGACTGTGAAAAGCAGAGTGCATTCAACTTCTTTTATATCAGAACTAAATTTCTTCTTCTCCCGAATTGAATTTTAATTGTTTTTCAATTTTTAAAAATAAAGTTTGTATGTTAATATGAGGTTTAATAAGTTTCTTTGATTCGTTGACAAATGTCGTCGAAAACAGCTCATCTGCTTTATGCGCAAATTCAATCGATACAAACTACAAACGAAACCGATCAGGCGTATTTCTTCTCATTAATTGCACCCAATAGTTAATGAAGCATGGCAAGTTGGATCATTGCCAATCTAGGTTCATTCAGTTAGAAAGATCATTCTGTCATTAACAGAGACTTTAATCTGTTTTCTTTGCCATATATTACACGTCGTATAAGATCACTTGTTGATCTCTTCTAAACTACAGTAAAGGTTAAAGAACTGTTAAATATCTCTTACTCCTCACTTTTTATACTGCTTTAACTCGTTTTATTTCCATTTATTTATAGATTCTAAACACATGCAAAATTTCATCATCGATTTTTTTGTGTGTGTGTGTGTCAATTTTCCAAATCCTCCCCTTAACAAGTACTCAACTCGAAGTTTGTCCGTCAGGTTGGGATGTAAATCCTGTTTCCCTAGACGAATGCTATTAGGAGTACAACACTCGTGTCAATTGTCTGCTTCAGACGACTCTCGATCGTTCACTAATTGAGATCATCTCCTTAAGGGGGTCTTGCTGCACAAATCCTGCTTAAAACTCAGGAGATTGAGTGTTTACTTTGTGTAGTCGTTAACTAAGTTTTATAGTTAGTTAAATTGGCGCGTGTTATTGTAGATTAACGTTTGTGATTTTGGCTGTATTGTGGCAAACAACTTTTTATATTAAATCTATCAAACTAAATTAGTTCGTGTTATGTCTGATTACTAATTAATGTAAAATATAATTAATGACTAATTTAAATCTGATTAAAGCGAACGAAATTTAATTTAAGTATAACTTGTATCTAAAATCTGTGTTATTAAACTCGAACTTAATAAACTAGTATACATTATAGTCATTAATATCTAAGGAGATTAATTTGCCAAGATGGAAATTGTAACATCGTAACTATACCAGAAATGTTTTTAAGAAACTAAATATTAAACTATTTTATGTAGAAGTTAAGTGTTTTCCATCGACTGTTTTGTTAAGAAATCAGAACAACTGTGTCCTGGATTGCATAAAAATGAAGTTGTTCTTAGATGGCTGCCTGCTCAAGTTCTCAAGGTCGCCATCTCTACAGGAAATGTGCATCTTAAACACGAAAAGAAAATCTAGTACAAAAATTATAGTCTATTTTTTTTGTTTCTGTCAAACTTCCATCTTAATTAGGACATTAACTTCAAAGTTTAAAATTACAAATGTAGATGTTCAGTTAAAATTATCGTCAGTTATTATTATTATTATTATTTTTCGCATGACACATATAACATAGGATTTACCTCATCATTCTAAGAACATAAAAAATTAAACAATGAATAAAGTTTGAAGATGATACGATGACTTGTGACAGTTGCCTAAGGAGCCCACTAATGTATTAGATGCTTCGCGTGTACTCTTAATCGCATTCCGTTTGAAAGGAAGGTTAAGCTTTCGATCACATTTAATGGAACTCGCTTAAAATTTAACATTGCTTCTTTCTCGTATCGATCCCCTGTTAAGCATAACAGAAATTCTCTTCGCCAGAGCTTAAAGAGAAACAATTAAAAATGTGTCTTAAAATATTTTCCAGAGACATCTTTCGAACGTAACCATTTCCTTCGCTGGCCTCCTCGTCTGTCATATTTATAGATTGTTTTGAATGCCATTACACAGCTTCCTGAATCGTCTGGGTTGTGTCAGTGTTAAATCACTCTATAGGTCATATCAGCCAGAGCTGCACAACGTCCTGCTACAATATCGGACTGTATGAGCGTTGACCCTGAAGTACTATTGGCCCCTCCTACATAAAATGATATTTCAACGCTTTCTTTCAAGCCATCTTTGTATAAAAAGATCTAAATGATTGAGTGTGAGAAGTCTTTCCTTATTATTTAAACTGAACTAAAACATCTATTTAAGAGCATCACGAATTCGTTATGATATAGAACTTCTATTTCTAGATTGAAGCACCACAGAAGGCGGGCAAATGATTTTTTTTTTTGTTTTTTTTAATAATAAACAATTACTAATAGGACTAAACTGTGCTTGTACTTTAACCTAACTTGTTTGAAATCAAAATTTTCTCTTGCTTTGCATTCATATTTTGATATTTTTAATGATGTTAACAGAAAACTAAACACCACATCTTTCTAGTTCAGTAATGGGTATGAAGGGAGGAAATTTGGATATCAGTTGGGTGTATCCCGTTTTGCTAGAGCAGTTTCTGTAGACAAACCCAGTCTCTGTCCTAGAAAACTGACATTTCCTTTCCCCATTTAGAGCCTATCGCATAATGATAGTTAGCAATAATCGTGAAGGTGAGTATTTTTATTGTTTTCATCCCAAGTGGCCTTCGTTCTCAATTAATCGTCAAGTGGTTTATTGCAACTTGAGCAATTAATCTATCGAGAAAAGTTGAGGTCAGATGAACGGATAAAGCTTCCTTTCATTCCGAAATATATTTTATTATAACCTTCGAAAGAGGTGGAATCAGTCGTTGAAGTTCTTGGTATGTCAAAAAAAATAATACAGAAATGAAAAAAAAATTAACACATGCCATTAAATACGACATATTAAGTTAAAGAATAATGTTACTTTCGTAACGAGGAGTTTAATATAATTCCACTACTATATATATATGATAACAGATTATTGTGTTGAATGAAACAAACCACTTTTATCCAACTATGAGGATAAGAATTGTTGTTGTTGTTGATGATAAGGAAAAAAAATGGCACGCCTTCAATGAATGAATCAATCATCAGTTATCCTCCTTTTTTTTAATCTTGCAGGAACATCCGGTGTAGCCTGTAAGCCGCCTCAGTCATCAAACTGCAATTCAAGACCGGCTTCATTTATTCCACAGCCTAGAGGACAGAGGGATCGAGCTGCTACCACTCTCAGGTCAGTTTGATCATTTTTATAATTAATAAGCTGCGTGCTGTCATTCAAGTGACTGTAATTTGTTAAGCAGCACAAATATTTCCAAGTTAGAATGAGTTTCAATTTTGATCGGATCGATACACTCAAACTTCATTTGTCACACTTCTAAACGAGTGGCTATTAACACGTGACTCATGTTAGCGAGTAGAAGTGACTGGCCAATAATTAAAGTTTTGATAAGATTTGATTCAGTTTTTACGTTCAAACAAGTTTACATTTGTCATTTCACTCAGTAATTTCACTCTTCTAAATGTAATTAATTATAATTAGATGAGGTAACGCTTTGTTTTTGTTTCTTTCTGGGGGAACTTTTTAGTGATTGTTAATGTTTAATCGTTGAATTATCTTAAAAACAGACTGATAAATATCATAACAAATGACTCACGCGATGGTGTAAATAAACTTTTGCTGTGTTCAAACTGTAGTAAATTCACAAAATCTATTTATTTACTGATATTATTCTGTTGTTGAGGTGCTTTTATGTGAAATATTTTTTTTTTAAAAAAATGCCTAAAGTGGATTAAAATTAATTCGATTTTTTGTTTCCCGTTTCTATTAGCAATAGATTCGCTATTTAGTCACATAATTTCAATTATTCTAGATTATAACATGCATAAAAAATCAGTTTCTTTTGGTTCAAATTTCGAATTTATCAGCTATTCAAAATTTACAATTAATTTAATGTAAATGCTTATAGGCAAATATATTATTATAATGTGTATTATTAAATTATACGTGTTTTAATAATTAAAAGGAATATTATCTTTTAAGATTCATTTTTATTGCATTTTAAGTTTTTAAATGAATTTTTATTTGTTAGTAAAATACTTACTAAAATATATTTTAGGTTAAGTACGAATAGAATAAATTTTTAAATGTACGTGAAAAGTGAATTAGCAGAGATGATCGAATGTTCTCTGTCACATGATTCTAGTAGCTGTATTGCAGATAACATCTAACGATTCTAGAAAAGCGAGAAAAGCTCGTATGCTGATGATCCAGATTTATTCTTCAGAGAATATTTACATAAAATTCTTATCTGATTTATTAGTACGTTAGTCACAAACCAAATGATAATTTTGATTTATTTGTCTAGACCTCCGACTTCATCTAACTCGATTCAATCTGGAAAACAAATTCCAGCAGCGAATAAAACGTCATCGGGGGAGAATAAAGTTTCGCACAATTCCATGTTCGACAAGTTTAAGTTATTTAATTCTAAAGATAAAGCTGGAACCAAAGGTATGTTTGCATTTCTGATAAATACATTGTTTAACTAGTTGTTTGAGTAATGTCTGAATTTTCTTAGCTAATCCGGTCTCAAAACGTACAAGCAGTAGCAGCGGCATCAGTTCGGCGCAGAGCGAGAGAAGTGATTCTTCTACCAGCCTGTGTACGGATAACAAAACAGCAGCAGGCAATAACGTACGACCCACTGTACGCAATGGCCCAAAGAAGAATACAGTTGTTAAGACAGCAGTAGCCCCTTCCAAAGCCACTACTAGTCAAGGTACAGTACTATTTTCTACCCTCTCTCTGTCACGCAGATATATAAGTTCCAAAAGCAACTTTGTTAACTACCGTATCACTTATTTTTAGTTACGAAAAGCGAACCAAAGAAGCAAGAATCGCAATTGACGACAGATGAGAAACAGAAATTGCAACAAAGCAGAAAGTCGTTCAACATAAAAAAAAGTGCACCCATCGAAGAAAAATCGAACAAACCGGAAGAAGTAAATAAAGTGGAGACCAGCGCATCTAGGGATCAAGACGATGGCAACGAGAAAGAAACAAAAAGCAATACGTCTGATGCACTCCACAAAGATATATCAAGCAGCTGTTTAGACAATAATAAATCATCGATCAGTCAGCCCAATAACTCAATCCATTTGTCAAAGTTTGCACCGGCTATCCAGCATTGCACCGCATCCCATCAGTCAAAAGTATCGACTAACCAATCTGTGGGCGCACAAAGTAAAACTCCACACAATAAAGAAGGAAGTGAACAGAATGACAAGAAGTGCACACAAGATAAGACGGATCCCCCTTCTAAAACTTGTGAAACCCATCCAGTGATTAATTCTGCAACTATGTCGACGGCTGGGAGTCACCTACCCAAACCTACTGCTGCTGTTAAGGGGACTAGTAAGACACCATCGAAACTGCAAAACAACCAAGATATTTATGTCCCTGTTCACATCTCCGCTCCAGAGATCCAACCGGAGGTCAAACTGAGTAAGAGTTGTCCTCGCAACGAGAGCATAAGTGTAGCCATGGTGTCTCCAATTTTAAACAGCAAAAACGATAGTTTAAAACTGGAGACAGCATTCGACAATACCGACAAGATTATCAGCTCTTCCAACAAGATGAATGAGACCACTCTAGCTGAAGAAGCGGAAGACATAGTGCTGAATATCAAACCCATGCAACCCATCATTCGATCTTCCGCTTACGGTTACATGAGAAGTCTCAGCCCCCTGACTGGCAGGCTGAGATTTCAAACGGAGTTGAATGGTGGAAGAATTGGTTTCGGCAAACAGATATTTTCCGACACCAACCGGGTGTACAACATGAAGAAATCGATTCTGGGAGGTGGGGGATTGTTAGAGGCAGATTACCTCACTGATCTGGATCATGTTGACTTATCGGCGGGTTACATGAGCGATGGTGAGATTCTACGCCCAGGGGCCATTTGCCATCTCGATGATATCGCTAGCGGATATTTGAGCGAAGGAGGCAGCCAACCGTTGTACACGAAAAGGAATACTAATAGAAGTAAGGATCTCAATGGCAGTCAGCAAACCAGCATTTTTCAGGAAGAAAGGTAAGTACATAATTATCTTTATACAATTTTGCACCTGCAAGAGTAAAAAATAGTTTGAAAAACTACCTAAATATCATTTCCTCTTCATATATTTCCAAGGCAACAGCAAGAAAAAAAACTTTATTATAATCATTTTAATAAGATGTGATTTCGCCTTGCAAAAAGTTACGGTTTATCTTAAGATAATCAACTTTGAACATGCCATGACTATTACATGTGCATATATAAATATGAAATTACAGTACTGTATTAGTTCAAATGAAATTCCGTTTGCTAAAGTGTTTTAAATTAGATTACATTTTCATGGAAAATTTTGTTAAATTTAAAACAGAACTCTTCAAAAAATTAAGATGCGAAGAGCATCGCTAGCTACGTGATATTTTATCAAAATTATTTTGAGGAAGTCTAATAAATTGAGGATAATATCCTTGTCGAGGTCAAAAACCATACTGTTAACGCGTTATCCTTATAGATAATCGCTGTTTGTCCCTGACGGATAATAAGATGCGTAATTGTCCGAGCTAAATATAAAACTGTTCTCGAATACAATGTCTATAAATAAATAGTCAAAGAATCGACTTTTTAAACGCTTTATTATTATTTTTTTTTATTTTGTATCATTTACAGTAAATTGATTGTAGGAGGTTAAGCGAGCTCTCTATAATCGATAGATAAACGAAATCCAATAAAACTACTATTCGTTCGTATACGTGTAAGGATGTTTTACTAACATAAAATGGTTTTTGAAAACTTGGGATCTTTAAGAGGAGATGATGAGCTTTTTATCGGCCATTGATCCTAGTTGAATGCTGTAGAATTAATGGAGGTGACAGTTCGCGCTTTAAAAAACATTACAGATGACATTTTGGACCTTAAACTTTCTTTTAACTTTAACCTTTTATTGATTGAATTAAATCAGAAGTTTTTAAGAGATAACTTCGACGTGACGGGAATTGATCGATCGATTAATTAATTTTTTTTTTTTCTATTTTTTTCAGAAATAAATCCTCTATGCAGAATTCAATTAAATTCGGGTGAGTTCTTGAAATAAAAAAAAATTAACAGTGATATTTCGCGCAAAAAAAACAAATATATTTTGTTATTTGTATTTAATACAAATGGTTTAGAGTGAAATTAAAGCTAATTTAATATCTTTTATAACTCGACAATTTTCGTTTGAGGAATTTTATTAAAAATGAGATTAAACTAAAATTATTTAAAATTCAATGTTCTAAAAAATGTGCAATTACTTTCTTTCATTGCATTTTTTATATTGTTGAAATTAATATTAAAATTTGCTACAAACTGCTTGATAATTTCATTCTAGACTACAATATTTAGAGGAGTTTTATAATAATCATAAAAAAAAAAATTTAATCAGAAATGAAAACTTTGTATACTTCTAATCATGTTTTACGGATATCCAAATAAATATTGTAAATCCACCCTGTTAATAATCGTAATCGCAACAGCTCATAAATTATTATCAACGCAACGTGGTTAATTATCTCGTTCATGTTCCACAGAACGATTTTCAAAGTTTTATAGTTAGTAACGCGTGACGATTTCCTACTTAAAAAGTCGCACATGAATAAATGATAAATTCATCGTGTACTATTACAGAATGTGCGAAACAATAGAATAGTAAGGCATCATCAAGCTTCCACCTTCTAATTATGTTATAAAAGTATTATGAAAGTTTCGTGTTTCTAGTTAGAGTTAAGAAAATATTCCACTCTCACAGTTATCAATTGTTGTCATCTGTATAGGCACTGGCAGACTACGACACGCTATTGTTCGTGACATGCACAATTTTTTTCTGCTTGACTATAGGAAACATAATGACTAGACTATTTTTTTTTTTTTAAATCGGTATTTTTAGAAACAAAGTTTCTTTAGGTAAAATCGAAGGTATCTTTCTTAATGGGGTGTGCTCGAAGCATCATTTAAAATACTTCAAGCAATGTCATAAAAAAATAATCATTACATGCGAAACAACTTTCTCTTAAAACTCTTTGCTTTGTAATTTCAGATAATTACACAAGAAAAACAAGTTTTAAAGATAGCAATGCTCTTCTTCACATTATCTGATGTAAAGAAAAACACATCAAAGGGAAGTTCCAATGGCATTTCCACTTACCAGAAATCGATGAAGACTAAAATTAGGCGATAGAAACAATTTAATTGATAATTTCACGAGTAGAAATTCTATATCCAATTTTCAGAACACTCCACCGCTGTGACAAATCGCATTTCTTTTGTGTATGGATTGCCGCCATTTATCGATAAAACGATCTGCAGGGTTTTAAATTAGAGAAGATGGCGGTATTGTTGGTCGACTGGCTTAGTCTAGTCTCGAACAGTTTCTTTTCTGTCTGTGTCAGTTTGTTATCCAGTTCATTTATTACATCGGCTTACTGCTTCTCCTAATATAGCCACGAACGACTTGAAGACAGTTGTTAAAAACTTCTCTTGATTAGTTTTAAAAGTAATTAGAAAACTTTATCGGTTTGGATTTGAAGTTTTCAATGTTTTAAAATAAAACTCCTATTTCAGGTTGTTTCTTTTATTGGCCTGTTTTATAGCAACGTTGTCATATTCCACTTTGGGAAAAATAATTTTAAACAGTTTAAATGTTAAATGATTTTGTAATTTCATAATAAAGTATTAGAATCGTTGTGTGTGTTCGTAAATTCGATTTAAAACAAGAAAAGTAAGGCGTTTGTTTTAATTACACATACAAAAAAAAGATTCTTTTTTAAAGAAAATCACCTGTTTTATGTTATTTAATACAGTTTTTTCTAATAGTTTGCTATATAAAAACAACTAAATTATTATCATAATAGTATGTTTTTCTAATGTAATATATATTATATTAGTCTATACTTAAATATCTCTGTTTATATATAAAATATGAATTATATTTTAGAATCTAATTTTTATTCTTACACATAATATGCATAAAATTATGATCTTTTTTAACTTATTCCACACATTAGAGGTTTAAAAAATTATAAATAGATTATACACAAAAATTTTCCTTATGAGTAGTGTAGTGCAGTGAATATCTATCGGCTTTACAAAATTTGAATATTAGATTTTATTCTATGCATTTATTTCTATTATATTCTATATTCAATATGTCATATCATATATTAAATAAATTTGATCTACTGCATTATCTAAGTAAATAACATAAATCATACCAGCTTAACGCATAAATAATTCTATCTTAAGAAAGGTTATAGAAGGGGAAAAAAGAATGAAAAAAATCTAACCACACTTATTTCTTAGGATTGCACCTGTAGCTGTTACTAACTTTTACGAAAAAAAAAGGCAATAAAACTCGATCTATATGATTTGTTTCCATCGTAGAAAGAATGGAAATGGTGCATTTCAGATGCATTTTCATATGCGTTTTGCAGTTGCAATCGATTCCTCCATCCCCTATGCCCATTAAACAGACTGAAATATAGCAGAAGTCTAGAGACTAACAGGATGAAGTAAAATATTTCTCACACAAAAGGCCAGCATGAAAGATGTTGCAATGCGTGAGCAGTCGCTTTAGAAAGTGAAACAGTAGTAAGTCTCTATCTAGAAAATAAAACTAATTTAAATGCAGGGTCCTTTCACAAAGAGCATTATGCGGGACTTAACATAAAGGAGCTTTGTGAAGAAAAGAATTCGCTAATGCCTCTAACTAATCATAACTTTTCACTTTTTTTTTATTATTAACGAAACTAATTTTTTTATTTTAAACAAATCGACGTAAAGAATAAACTTGAAACTTCACAGAAACATTATAATTGGATTGGGTGAAACATTAAAACCTTCCCTTCGCTATGTTTAATGAATTGATCAATAGAGGCCAGCTACAATTGCAGAAGGTGATGCTCGCTCCCCTCATCTGCCGCCATAGATGGTACATCCCAATCGATACAGTGTGAGTAGCCCGAAATCGCTTGTTTTGTCTGGAGGTGTGTCTTTTGCACAGCCATGCACCGCTCTAAACACCGCGAAACGCGTCACTGGTATGTCAGGTAAGATCTTATAAAGAAATCAGATCTTTTCTGTGTTACTTTTGTGAAGATGTTTACTCTTTCCTGCGAAATTGTCAAATTTCCTCTATCCAACCTTCCTCATGACTTACTTAATCCTGTATTTGCTATGGTTTCTGATCTGTAGCTTCTTGATACTGTAGAAAACATTTGGTTTTATGTAGTTACCTGATAAGTTCATGTTTTACTTTCTATTGAACGGTTCTCGTGTATATTTGTTTTGAAAAAGTTTTATAAAATACGTACTTTACATAAAAAGCTATAATTTATTTTTTCTTTTTCAAACATTGAACTGATTTATTTTGTATATTTTGCAGTTTATAAATTTTGTGATAGATTGATTTAAAGAATTTTACTTTTGGAGAGTTAACTACTCCAGCTTGTTATTTTCTGAATCTCACTACACATTTCCACTGTTTGTATACAAACATTGATTAGCTGCTGGCAGTCTGCCCCTCCGGCTGAAGTTTTAATGAAGTACCGTATTTGATTGTTTGCTCCAATGAACTAATGAAGTACAAGAAAAAAAATTAATGAAATTGCCCATTTAACTTTTGATCTATTTACGATAAAAGTTAATAATATTTTAATTATCTACGATAAGGAAATTATATATTTACTTTATAAAATAAATAAGCAATGCGTGAAAGTTTTCGCTTAAAAACTTGCTTGCATGAAAACGATTTCGATTACCATATTTAATTAACTCTAACCTAAAATCCGCACGGTATACGATGCTATGTAATCTTCTGCTCTAGGGCAATTGTTCGAAAATGAATGTCCAAAATTAAATTAGCAGAGTGTCTCAGAAGCTGAATAAATAATTCAAAATATTCTCAGCACTAAATGCTGTTTATATTAATTTAAACTGTCATCTAGAATTTAGTTAATTCTCTAGCCACCTTTCAGGTCTCGTGTAAATTATAACAGTAGATTATTTATAATATAAAGTAAAAATAAATGGTCACGTCAGTGGAAGCATAAATGACATTCAAGAAAGTTATACAGAAACAGTCTTTGCACTTTAATCGCAGCGATAAATCAACTATAAATCTTTAGGGATATCGATATACTCTAACAAAACTTATTTATATAACTTATTCGTGCTTGTGTTTTTTCTCAAACATAGTTTCTACACGTTACTAAAATGAAAAAGAAAAGACCTGTACATTATATTATGACTACGACAGATTAATGTATCTTATTTTGTAGTGTATATTAATCGTGTAATAGGATTAAATAGATTTTGTATTGTGGACTAAGATTAATTAAATAGAAACTATAATTTATGCCATATAGTTACTTATATTTATTATTATATAATTTTAATTTATAGCGACATTAATTAAGATTTGTTGTTTTCAGTTTCGAAGATAGTAGTTCACTTAGTAGCGGCATTAGTGATACTGTTGCAGAATTTAGCACCGATGATATTACTAGTTCTTCTATGAGCTCTGATAATCAATTCAACAGCTTGAAGCGTACTCCTCACACACAGACGACCTGCAAATTGTCGCTGCCATCATCAAACGACAAGAATCACTTGGGATCTAAATCCATCAACGGTACCAATGATAGCGGAAGCAAAAATCGATCTAATATTAAGAAAACAGACAGTTCTATGCAAACCGAATCCAGTGCCTTTCATCATAATTCCACGTCGACTGCATGGAAGAAGCATCACGATCAAACAAACAGACTGGAAAACAAGTGCGAGTCGGAAAAATGCAAAATAGAAAACGAGAAAAGAGAAAAGAAAGGATCGAGCACTAGTTCATCTAAGAAAAATACTAGCAGCGACTCGCATAAATCTCGACATAAGTCATCTAAATCAGATGAAAGCAAACATAAAGCTGCAGAAACCGATTGTCCAAATGAAAAATCCTCACGCAGTAATAAAAATATCTGTAACGATACCGGTCATCTTAAAAATAATGATGGTAAAAAAGTCTTGTCATCACGGGCAGCTACGCCAAACGTGGCATCAGTTACTAAACGCTCTACAGTTGTGCATCCCAGTAATCCTTGCAGCAATATGAAATCGAATAGTACAAAATTATCAATAGGGAATCCGAATTGCAAAAAAATTCTTGAGAAATGTTCTGATAATTTGAGAATGTGTGATTCTGCAGAAACTACAAACGATCCACCATCCATTATGATGTTTCAGAGATGCGGGACGGTTCCAGGATGTTCTAACAGTAGAGCATCTTTGGACATAAAAGGAAAATTAAAAGTTAGTGCCANGATATATATATATATATGCTTATATCTAAAATTAATCAGATGGGTTTTTTGTTTTTTTTTCCTGTGGACAAACGATCCATTTCTAGAAGTTCTCTCCCCTTGCTTTTAATTTTGCAAAGTCTGGACATTAACCCGAAGTTGAAAAACTGAAAATGTCATCATTAGAGAGCGCGGGAAAACGCAAAAAAATCAAAAGATAAGCTAAAGGGGGTCATCGCTATCGCTAGTTGCAAACCCAGTATCGTTCAGATCGAATTGCTAGCAGCAGGTGGACAGTTTCAGATGTTTAAAAGAGCAATTCAGATAATTGTGATGCAAATTTGTCTTTTTCACTCTTTCATTTTTCTTTCGTAGAAGGTAATGCGATGATGTTTCACTTAATTAAAGCGATCTTTTACTTATTTAACATGTTTGAATACAGTGTGTGCCTTGCACATAAATCTCCCATTCATCCTTTCAGACTAATGCAATCGGAGATGAAGAAAAAGATGTAGTTTTTTTCCCTTCCTCTCTCTCTCTCTTTCGTATCGTGTCTAATTTTAAGGATGGAAAATTGCGTAAGTGGTCTTAATGCTGTTGTTGAATTTAAGTAGTCTCACTCGTTTAAAAGAAATTACTATTATTATTATTTGATTTGTTGCTCTCTAGATTAATTTCTTTCAATATTATTTAAACTAAAATTTTTATACTATTCTTTTGACCTTGAAGAATTATATTATGTCTATTCATAAAGAAGCTGAGTTGCTTAATTACTGTAATTTTACTTAAAAATGACCTCTTTTTATCATATGTATCATTCTCAGAATTAGTTTTGTTAGAACATTTTGTACTAAATAACGTTTTGTACTAATTGCTTGCCCGTTTTCAAAGTCCACCAGGAAAAAATTAGACAGAAAATAAAGGAAACAAGGAAAAATATGCTGTATATTTATATTATAAAATATAGTATTATATAATCAGAGAGATCATACTAAATAATATATGCTATCATTCTTTAACGTGTATCCATAATTAAGATTGATTACATTATAGTTCAATTACAGTNATTGTTGTCCTTAATATGCCTTTTTTTTTTTAGGATTCAGAACTGAATGAGTTGAGGAGTACCATTGAAGCATTGAAGAAACAGAGTGCGGAAGCCGGATTGACAAAGATGGCCCTGCAATCCATGCAGGCAGTCCAGCGAAGTACGGGTGTTCCTAACTTAGTTCGCCGTCACACATTTAACACTACTAAGGATACTGGTATGATGTCGACTAACACTAAAGCAAACCTCGAAGTGGCCGCTAATTCGTCATATTTCTGCATCGAGCTATTTGCTTTGGAGGCCTTTAGAGCAGTTTCTAAATAGTTTTTTCTATGCATGTTAAATGGCGGAATGAAAGCCGAAAAAAAATCTGATTTAAACTAATTGTTATTTTTATTGTTGTTTGTTTTTTTTTTGCATTTGTTTACCGCTCACGTAATGTGGCTATGTAGTAATAATTTTCATTTCTATTCTATCGCTTTGTTTCTACCCGATTGTCAGTCGGCTTGTGTTAAAATATCAAACACAACAACAATATAACAGAAACATATTTTGATCCAGAGATGAATTACGATTTTAAACATTATTGTTTCATTTCAGCACTTCAGGAGAGCAGAATATCGCGCCAATTTTCTACGGAATCGATGTCGAGTGCTAATTCTCTATCTAGCACATCAATCAAGAATGCCGAATCAAATTCAGCAAAGAAGAAGAAGAAAAAGAGCTGGGTGAGTGTAAAATTTAATCATTCGGTATCAAGTGTAACTTTCAATTTAATGCCAGAATTAACATTTTGTAACGATTTCATTATTTGAAATGGGCTACTAAAAAGAGAGAAAAAAAAAATGCAATTTAAGGAAACTGTAATAACGATTCTGAAAGTCATTTAAGCACTTTAAAAATTTGACCCTGTTCATTTTCTAATCTAGTGTTATAATATAATACTATTTCTTTTCTAGTCTCTTGAGAGTTTGTCCACTCCACTTCAGATCATCGATCCACATCCTTTCAGTTCTCCCTCCTATATTAGCTCTAGCTTATTTCAAGCTATTCGATGTAATATAATCTCTTGTTGAGTTTCCATGTCTTTTTTAGCTACATAATATTATTTTGTTTGGTGACCCAACTAGTTGAAATGTAATAGTTTTAAGTTTTAAACATGCATATTATTTTTTAGTAAATGTATCCTTAGAATAAAACAAATTTTACGTAAAAGAAAGATCGCGAGAACTAATATAATTCTTTTTCTAAGATGTTTCCTTTTATATATTTCGCTCGAATTTCTTTCACTTTGACTCTCAGCTGCTCTTAAGTATATTCAAAGAAGTTTCCATGAATTCCAAAAATACAATATATATCATATTCTTAACTTTACGTACATTTTAAAACATGTTTTTGCTCTTAAGCAAATATAATAAATGGCAATGTCTTCGGGATTGACTCCAATTTCACATTACTAATGCATGTAACTCTATTATTATTATTTAAAACAACTGGCATTAAAGACACGAAAAAGTTCTAGGAATAGAATGAGTTATGCTTTGTGAATAGGTTTAATTTTCTGATTTATTGATGATAGTACTTTTTAAATTGTAAATAAACTGTATCGAACATAAACATTCAAATCATGCGTATTGCAACATTGATTCTTAATTACCGAAATTTAACAATCCTCACTTTTTTTTTGAATTTCAGTTTAAAAGTTCGTTCAGTCGAGCCTTTTCTAGAAGCAAAAAGAATAAAAATGGTTCAGTATCCGATGTAGAAGATACGCGACAATTTCAGTCTGATTCCTCCACACCAAATTCTCCACTTCTGGGATCCTGCCATCATCTAAGCAATGGAAACATAGCGCAAAGTTTGAAATTATCCCATTCGTCATCGGCGTAAATATCGATATTATAAATTATGAATGAATTGTTTTTTTTTTAACACGCTTTATAAATAAAAGAATTTTATTTTTCTCAGAATTTATGATAAAGATGACGAGCCGGCTCCTGAAATTGTGGTGGAGCTTAAAAAACAATTGCGCGAGAAAGATCTAGTATTGACGGATATACGATTGGAAGCCCTGACCTCGGCCCATCAGTTAGAAGGTCTTAAAGACACAGTCAACAAAATGAGAGTAAGTGACTGATGACTTAGTTTAAAGATTAAAAGCAATCGATAACAATAATTTGATTCGTTCAATTTAGGCCGAGATGATGAATCTAAAGCAGGACAATGACAGATTACAGCAGATAGTGTCTTCTAAATCTCTAGCATCTTCCCAAGGTTCGTTAGAAAACAATGCAGAAAACATCGAGAAGAGATTATCTGGTCAAATCGATCCTTCCATTATAGGTAAAATTATATCGTGATAGATACTTTATATAAGATGTATTTTATGTTGAATTCTGCAAGATTTTAACTGTCAAAATTTCTAACAGATCTGCAAACTAAAGATAACCACGATGGGAAGAGGATAACCATCTCGGTATTTCTGGGAAGTCACGGTGATTACGTAAAATATATTAGTCATACTAAGGTAAGAAAACTTCTTTGACTCCAGTGCAGATTAAAAATAGAAGTAACAAAATATCACAAAAGTAATAATCATATCCAAAAGCATGATTAATCTGTGTTAGGTATGCGTTTAAAACAAATGTATGATACACGTATTTACTTACGTTTACTCATGCACACAACAAAAGGAAATACTAATTGTTTGAGAAATTTTTTGAAGTTAAATGGCCGGTTTTGCTTTTATTTATTGGAAAGACTGATTAAAATATTTAACTTTGACTGAGTTGAATATTTTGTTCTTTTGAAGGAAACTTTAATTGGATCAATATTTGTCAGCAATAAAACCAAATGGGATCTCCTTGACAGTATGGTCAAACAGGCATTTAAAGTATGTATTAAATTTTTATATTCCAAAGTAATGATACTTACTAAAATATGAAAAAAAAACATTTAATTATTCTAATATATTTTACCCCAGGAATATATTTTCCAAATCGATCCCGTATCTACTCTTGGTTTAAGTTCAGAAAGCATCCATAGTTATCATATCGGAGAAATTACTAGATCAAAAGGTAAGTGGATATTAGGAGAATGCTTTATTTGTTTAATTTAGCAAGTAATTCGCTATTATTATATATTTTCAAATATTACATCGTAGTTAAATGTACCGTACATCATTGATCTTAGTCTGATGCATACTTCTATTTAGTTTATCAGACTATAGTTTACACTGCTAGAACAAATAATGGGAATTTATGTACGCTATTTGTTGTAAATGATAATGACTCTCTCCTCTCTCTCTCTCTATATATATATATATATATACATTACAGAGTTTAATCGAGGAAATATAATGAATAAAAAGTGTTCTATTACTCAAACAGGCAAACGTCATCTTGCCATATCTTATTTTTTTCACGTTTACAACTAATAATGTTCCATGCCACTATCTTTATTAGACTATGATTAAACATTTCGAGGTGAGGTATTACCAAATTTATCAATGAATGTGATTCTCTCATATTTATTATAGATGTAAAAATATATAGGCTTAAACATTTTAAAACTTTTTCTTTGTAATGAGTTTACTTCCTCATTTATTCTTAGATTAATGTAGTCATAATCACCATTTTATATTGGAAAAATTCAAAAAATATAATATTAAATCATACTCTCTTCTGTAATACAGTTATTCCAATTTAACAAAATCCTTTTTGAATGCAAGTTTAAACTCAAAATCATGTTTTTGTTTTTTTAAAAAAATATCTATTATATCAAGAAAAAAAATTATATTTCTATAGTTAATAAACGCATTTAATAACGTATAATGACTGAATTTTTAATTTTAAAGAGAGAAAAATATATTAAAGAAAATGACAGAAAAATAAAGAAAAACACACAACAAAACCAGTAATGGAACGTTTTATTAAAGAAAAATACGTTCAACTATGATAGATTCAGGCATAACTTTAAGTATTTTTGCTAAAGCTATTATTTTCGAAGGTAAAATATTCATTGATGATAACATTAACAGTTTTTCTATTTATATCTTACTAAAGATTTGAAATTCACTACTTAAAAGTTCATTGTAAAGGAACATGCTTAAACATTAACGGATTGTGAGAAAGACAGTCCTTTACAGTTTTAGAGCCACTTCTGATTCCCTCCCACTTTTATGTACAATGATGTACTTTTAGAAAACCAATAACGTAACTAGATACAATGTAAAAGGGGACCGTAGAGAGCAGTTCCTGCAAGAGTATCTGTCACTTTTAGTTAAATGTTACTTGGCAGCTTCCAATAATGTTTTAAAAAATACCTTCAGACATTTAAAAATATATTTTATTTCAATATGATAATGTTATAAATCTAAAGGAACACAGATCTATTTTCTAGATTCTGCTCTGCTTTTAAATTCTTTAAAATAGAGGAAATAATAACTATTATTATTATTATTTAATCATAAAGAAGTATAAAGGTTCACCCACAAGAAAAAGACACGCCCTGTTCTGCTAATCGTTAATGGGTAATAGATATATAACATAGACCTACACAAAACATCATGACAAATTTACAACATAGAATTGCAGTTGCAAAAGTAGTACAGAATAGATAGCGAGAAGGAAGGGGGAAAATATATTAAATAAATAAATAAATAAAATATCAATATATATATAACTAGATACAAATTACAACAAGTATATAAGAAAAAACAAAAGTACAAAACAATGCAAAATGCAAAACAAGGTACGCCCTAAAGACGGTGAAATGATAGATGAGGCTGTAGATAACTTCCTCTATTTTCTTATTGGTAAGATGTCCATATGCTAGTTTACGTTGGCAGGGCAGTATTTAGGAGAAAACAGAGATCATCCATCGAAAGACAGTCGGTTTTTTTTATTTTTAATTCTATCCTGTGGGCACAAAGAGAGATTGTTTAATCAATCCCATTGTGGGTTCTACCAGGCCCACAATGCTGCAGTCCTGGATCAAGTTAAAATTTAATATGAGTCATCAACATTTTAATAAATTTTCGCTTTTACGTACAGTGATACCTCGACTTACGCGAACTCGGAGTTACGCGATTTTCAAATCTCGTCGATTCGTCTTTTGTTTGAGCGCCACGCAACTCTTGATTAATAATTCTTTCCACACTATTGTTCAACTTACATGTTCGGACGTGTCGTGCGGAATCGATACATAGCTACAATTTATTTTGTGTTATTTATTTCTGTGTTTGTTATATCTACGGAGACTCGAGAGACTATGTGATGATTTCTTGTAACAAAGAACGAATCAAAAGACGAGATAAGATTAACGAGAACATTTATTAGCTTACATACATCCCACTTGGATTTTACACACATTGAGAAATTATACCCCGACTTACGCGAATTCGACTTACGCGGTTATCGCTCGGTCCCACCTATCGCGTAAGTTCGGGGTATTACTGTACAGTACATAATGGATTATAACTAATATACGTAAATTACCATGTCGTTAGTTAACTCCACAATTAAATTATTTTAGCTTTTTGTATTATTAACTTTTTCATTATGAATGGGGACCCGAAACCTAAAACCCTCCATGGTTACGCCAGTATGGCAAACTCTTCCCTTTTAATACGCATATGATAGTCCGTGAACTTCCTGTCATTGAAATAACTAAAGTTCTACAAATATTTTCTGATAGTTTTATTCCCATGATTAGTAAGTACACTTATAAGAACGAATTCGTTTGGCACTATATAACTAAAAAGAATCCACGTAGACAATATACAGCTTCCTTTATACTCCACCGTGACAAATGATGTGCTTTTCTCAAGCACATCATTGTTCACGATGATGTACACGCAATTAATGAATGATGACCCCAAAGGGCAAATTGATGATTTAGACAATAATGATTTGTCTACCAGATTTACAGCCCTTCGGCTAGATCGTTCTCAAATGCTTATACAACACTACATAAATTTAAAAGACCCGAAAAATTTTTCTCCAGGCTATAAACGTGTAGTTCTTAAAGAAAGTAAGACAAAAACAACCATCTTGTACTCAACAATCATTAAATCCTAACTTAAATATGTCCAAATCAATTACATGTTTTAAAAAAGTTACAGTATATTGGTTTAAATTAATAAAAACACAAAAAAAAGAGAAAAATTGGACAGCAGAATGTTCTGGGCCGATGAATGGCAGAAGTCATTCGTCGATCTAGAATTTGTATACAGCGAAGAAAAAAAATTAACCTAAATCAATTGGTCCCGATGGTTGTTATTATTGGCACGATCTTAGAATAGAACCTGAGATATTTTTCAAACGTGAATTTGGAGGAGATTCTGTAATAGTGTGAGCAGCATTTAGCTAGAATAGTACATCGCCTGTAACGTAGTCTTTTATTACAGGACGAATGGACGTTCACGTCTACCTACTAATAAGTTCTATCTGGTAAACAGTACGAAAGAACGGTTTAGTAAGCATATACTAACTCTTAAGTGTTTATTATTTGGATACGCATTATTAATAATTATATACATTTAATTAAATATAATTATAATATTCGGGACATAATTATGACTGTTTAAAATTAATTTGCAGATAATAACTTACCTGAACTATTACCTTGCGGTTACTTCGTGGGAGATAATGCACAAATTCACATTGTTTTAAAAGGTAATTCTTTTTAAGATAGTATATATTATTAATTTATAAATCTTATATAAAAATAAAATATACGAAATGCTTCCTTCCAATAGGGGCCAAACAGAATTCAGTCGATGCTTTGGTATTTGAAATGCTTATTCCAAAATTGATAGTACACCGTTACGTTTCATTGTTAACGGATCATCGCAGGATAATACTTTGTGGTCCTAGTGGTACAGGAAAAACTTACATTGCTCAAAAACTAGCCGAATATTTGGTTCTTAAGTAAGTTCTTTAAGCTACGTTTTTAAAAGTTAAATATATTGCAGTTTAATTTACGTGGTTAAAACATTTTCATTCTAGAAATGGCAAAGAAATGACTGCCGGCGCAGTTGCTACCTTCAGTGTGGATCATAAATCGGCTAAAGAATTAAGACAGTATTTATCGAATATAGCTGAACAATGTGAGAGCAGGTAAGTAGATGAAGGAAGTTAACTCAAATCGATTATCAATTGTTAAATCGTTTCATGCCTCTTTTTCTTCGTATAGTAATGCTGGTGATCTTCCATCTGTGATTATCTTGGACAATTTGCATCATGTCGGATCATTAGCCGAAGTTTTCAATGGGTTTTTAAGTGCCAAATACCAGAAATGGTAAGCATAAAATTTTGTGACGAATAAATTACTTTGTTTTAAAACTAATTTTATATTCTTTTTATTTTGGTTTTTAAAATTTTAAATATTTTACTTAGCCCATATATAATTGGAACAATGAATCAAGCGACTTGCTCAACAACAAATCTTCAACTGCATCATAATTTTAGGTACATTTTGAGAGAATTACTTAAGTTCTTTGAGTATTTTTTTTGAATTAAAAATAAAATATATTCTTTCTTTAGGTGGGTGTTATGTGCCAATCACATGGAACCAGTTAAGGGTTTCCTAGGACGATATCTTCGCAAGAGATTGATAGAAGAGGAAGTACAAAAAGGAAAAACTAACGAAGATTTGACGAAAATTATTGAGTGGATGCCTAAAGTTTGGCAACACCTCAACAAATTCTTAGAAACTCATAGTTCCTCCGATGTTACAATAGGTAATTATTTCTTCTTTTTAGTTTTTGTTTAGAAGTTTTCCAGAAATTTTAATAATAGCTAAACTAAACAGAAAAATTTGTAAGACATTTTAAACAAATATATGAATACAAAAAAGCAAAGCAATAATCATTTAAATCTGTAGAATACAACACGCTAATAAATTTGCAATGTTTAGGTCCGCGGTTGTTCCTCTCCTGTCCCATCGACATTTCAAATTCTCAGGTATGGTTCACCGACCTATGGAATTATAGCATTGTTCCGTATCTCTTAGAAGCGGTGCGCGAAGGTTTACAGGTAAGCTTCTCTTTCAGAAAAATTAACGTTTTATGGGAATATTAGTAACACTGTAATTCGATTTAGCTTTACGGAAGAAGAGCACCCTGGGAGGATCCTGCAGACTGGGTCCACATGACCTATCCGTGGCCGCCTCCCTCGGCCGGAGAATGGCCACAACTATTGCGATTAAGGCCGGAAGATGTCGGTTACGATAGTCATCTAGGATCAGGTTTAGGTAACAAGCATCTGCATTCGAACCCCAGCGAAGTGGAGGGCGATCCCTTGGTAGGTTCTACCAGAACAGTTTTTGTGTAATGTAACACTTCGGGAGATAAATTTGTAACAAAAAACAAAATGTGTTACAGCTGAACATGCTGATGCGCCTGCAAGAAGCCGCCACATACTCTAGTCCTCTTTCCAACGACAACGAATGCACGAGATTAGACAACAAAATCCACAAGGAAGAACTGATCAGCGGTGGATTGGAATCCACGCTATAGTGCCTTCTACCCAACAGTATTAAAGAAAAAAAAACATATCTCATAAGAGCTTCCATACCATTGAGGTGCATTGCAGACGAAAACGCTTGCCTCCTCTCCCTGCAATGGGGAGAGTTAATATTTGGCATGTTCTTAAGTTATATTTTTTCATAACTATGGCTTTTTGAGCAATGTTGTCGGGAGCGAATATTTTATATTAAATGGCTGCTAGTGTCGATATTTTAAACACGATATGCTTACATATGGTGCTGTGGAGTTGCCTTTTTTTGTATATCGTTTGTATGAACATTGAGGCGAGTTTCGGCCGGATAATTATACCATTATCCCTGAGCACGAGCTGCCTCGACATTCCGTGATCTTAAAAAAAAGTTTTGATAAAAAAGAATTTATACTTTTGTATTCATGTATATTTTGAAATGCAATTTTGTGCACAGTTTATTCTTACGAAGAGAAACTTTTTTCAAACAATGCAAATTATTTAAATAATACTGTACTTAGTCATTGCCACTTTTGATACATGTAACGTTTTTGATATAGGAGACTAGTATTTATAATTAACGCAGATTGTATAATACTATATATATAACGGTATATAAAAATATGATTTTATATTTGCACTTGCTATTTACTAAGACACCAAAGAATTTGGACAAGCGATATCAGTTGCTTTTCATACACAAACATATGTATTTTTTTCTTTCGTATAGTGAAATTCACGTTTTTTGAAAGTAATCTGTGATGATGTGTCTTTGATGTGTATAAATTTGTAAATAAATACGATGTTTTACGAATAAACAGAATTTATTTAACTGAACCTAACCGAACACAATAATTGCATCATATTCATTTTATCAATTTCCTAAAGAAAAATATTCATCTTCATGCATTTTTCTTAAAACAATACGTTACATTTTTTATATTCACAAAATAATGTACACATATGAAAATTACATAAGTCTGACAAAATCATTTAAAGAAATACTTTATATATAATTATTTCAAATTGATATATTTTTATAGGCTCTACTCTATACATAAGTATAACAGTAATATAGTAATTTCAGTACATTCACCAAAAATTTTATTGCCGTTAACCAACATAAATTCCAAAACCCGTTTACAAATTTGCGATTCTCCCGTATTTAACTCAGTGACTTTTACATATAATTATCGTATACAACCCAATTTTGGATTGGTGGGTGATTCACCCACCAATCCAAACTTCTGGGTAATGAAGCTTGAGCACAAAATAATTACATTAACTGTAATTGTCAGTGCATTTTATCACGGAATCCGTTTAAACCCATTACTATTATCTATTTAAATTAGTACAAGTAAATTATAGCTAAGTATAATTAACCGTACGAAATAAATATTTGCATACAAATATATTTAATTAATATATATACTGTATATAAACCCTTTACCATCCCCGATTAATAAAGTTCTTTAAAGATTAAAAAAAAAATATCATCTCCTCTTCGAATCCATTCGATCTAACAAACGGGGGAGATACTCGAACAAATTCTCAAACCAAAATTATATATTTTAAAATATATTCACCTACTTCGATAAAAAACAACGCAAATCACGATGTACAATCGCCATTGGCAAGTATCGTCGTGGCTATAGCATAATCGCTGCTCGGCGATTTTACAAAACCGAATTCGAAACAAAACGCTGAATTTTCTGGAAGTTTTCTTCTTCCTCTTCACAGCATAAACAAAAAATTAAGAGTGATCGATTGAAGATTTAAAAACAGACGAGAAACGAACAAACTCAGCATTCTGATCAAGAAATCTTTCGGATTGGAAATCGATCTCAAACTATTCATTTCGTTCGTGTTAAAAACCTCTTGCCACAAAGCGTACAGAATGTTACTCGAACTTCCGGAATATTTGCTTTAATAATTTAAAGAAAAAGTCATTATGTTGTATTAAACATTTAAAAATTAAACAAAAGAAACAACTTACTCTCGCACATTTTCTGGTGTTCCATATTGATAGGGGAGCACATCTAAACAAATTATTTACTGTAAGAATAATAATTGTCACGAGAATACTTAAAAAAATAAAGAAACTTACCATCGGGATAAGAAGAAACGAGTGCCAGAAGGGTGGCAAAGATGATAAAGAAGATTATCGAATACATCCCCAAGTAGTTCAACTTCTGCATAGTAATTGAAGGCGGCCTTGCTAACTGCGTTTTAAAATGCAGCGACAAGCAACAGCTGTCAGGTAAATTAAATTCGATCGTAAAAGAATAATTTCATAAGCAATAAAATTGAAACACGAAGTTTACTTCTATAAGCGTAGGCGATACAAGATTTGGAAGTGAATGTGGTAGAAAATATAATTTTTCTGAAGCAAAGAGGGGGGCCATTCTAATAACGAATGAAACATCAGAAGGGTGGAAAAGGTGATAAGATGTTCTAATTGATGATGATGATGATCAACAACGTTATAGCCTAAACCACTCCAAATTATAAAGCTTTTATTTTTGGAAATATAAACTGAATATAGCTTTGGTATCTGAAATGTCTTAGACTTAAAATTGCATTTAAAGCTATGTATATATATCATTAAGTAAAATTTAAAGAAAAGCATTTGATGCGAATCGACTTGTGATCTTGCTCTGAGCGAACTTGAAAATGAACTCGTCTGTGTGAGAGCAGCAACAGTTCTGGTTTCATTTGTATTATTACAAATCTTAAACTGTGATAAATTTCTCGTAATAAACACCATCTGTAATGAATTCAAATAAAGCTGAACAATATTCCTTAGAATATTAATATTCACCGCAGTAAAATCTAGAAAATAGTTTCTCGTTTAATTTCCGCCCTCAATGATTGAATTGAATGCAAATTTCTATAACTGTTCATTTTTACGTTTTAATTTTTGAGTCTGGCAAATTAAGAACTTATAATTAAAATAAATTATAAAACTCTAAACACAGAAAACAATCATTTTCTTTTGCGCTATTTTAAAAGGCAAGCTATTTTCTATCCGTTTTAATCCATGTATGTTATGTTTGTTTATAATTATTTTTATTTATTTAATTTTGTACAGTAATACCCTGAACTTACGCGACAGGTGGGACCGAGCGGTAACCGCGTAAGTCGGGGTATAATTTCGCATATAAATACATACAAATAATTTTTAATTGGGGCCGGAGACTAAAGAAAACAATAATTTAGAAAAAAATGTTTAATAAAATCTTAGATAATACATATGTATAACAAATTANAAGTTTTAATGAAGTACCGTATTTGATTGTTTGCTCCAATGAACTAATGAAGTACAAGAAAAAAAATTAATGAAATTGCCCATTTAACTTTTGATCTATTTACGATAAAAGTTAATAATATTTTAATTATCTACGATAAGGAAATTATATATTTACTTTATAAAATAAATAAGCAATGCGTGAAAGTTTTCGCTTAAAAACTTGCTTGCATGAAAACGATTTCGATTACCATATTTAATTAACTCTAACCTAAAATCCGCACGGTATACGATGCTATGTAATCTTCTGCTCTAGGGCAATTGTTCGAAAATGAATGTCCAAAATTAAATTAGCAGAGTGTCTCAGAAGCTGAATAAATAATTCAAAATATTCTCAGCACTAAATGCTGTTTATATTAATTTAAACTGTCATCTAGAATTTAGTTAATTCTCTAGCCACCTTTCAGGTCTCGTGTAAATTATAACAGTAGATTATTTATAATATAAAGTAAAAATAAATGGTCACGTCAGTGGAAGCATAAATGACATTCAAGAAAGTTATACAGAAACAGTCTTTGCACTTTAATCGCAGCGATAAATCAACTATAAATCTTTAGGGATATCGATATACTCTAACAAAACTTATTTATATAACTTATTCGTGCTTGTGTTTTTTCTCAAACATAGTTTCTACACGTTACTAAAATGAAAAAGAAAAGACCTGTACATTATATTATGACTACGACAGATTAATGTATCTTATTTTGTAGTGTATATTAATCGTGTAATAGGATTAAATAGATTTTGTATTGTGGACTAAGATTAATTAAATAGAAACTATAATTTATGCCATATAGTTACTTATATTTATTATTATATAATTTTAATTTATAGCGACATTAATTAAGATTTGTTGTTTTCAGTTTCGAAGATAGTAGTTCACTTAGTAGCGGCATTAGTGATACTGTTGCAGAATTTAGCACCGATGATATTACTAGTTCTTCTATGAGCTCTGATAATCAATTCAACAGCTTGAAGCGTACTCCTCACACACAGACGACCTGCAAATTGTCGCTGCCATCATCAAACGACAAGAATCACTTGGGATCTAAATCCATCAACGGTACCAATGATAGCGGAAGCAAAAATCGATCTAATATTAAGAAAACAGACAGTTCTATGCAAACCGAATCCAGTGCCTTTCATCATAATTCCACGTCGACTGCATGGAAGAAGCATCACGATCAAACAAACAGACTGGAAAACAAGTGCGAGTCGGAAAAATGCAAAATAGAAAACGAGAAAAGAGAAAAGAAAGGATCGAGCACTAGTTCATCTAAGAAAAATACTAGCAGCGACTCGCATAAATCTCGACATAAGTCATCTAAATCAGATGAAAGCAAACATAAAGCTGCAGAAACCGATTGTCCAAATGAAAAATCCTCACGCAGTAATAAAAATATCTGTAACGATACCGGTCATCTTAAAAATAATGATGGTAAAAAAGTCTTGTCATCACGGGCAGCTACGCCAAACGTGGCATCAGTTACTAAACGCTCTACAGTTGTGCATCCCAGTAATCCTTGCAGCAATATGAAATCGAATAGTACAAAATTATCAATAGGGAATCCGAATTGCAAAAAAATTCTTGAGAAATGTTCTGATAATTTGAGAATGTGTGATTCTGCAGAAACTACAAACGATCCACCATCCATTATGATGTTTCAGAGATGCGGGACGGTTCCAGGATGTTCTAACAGTAGAGCATCTTTGGACATAAAAGGAAAATTAAAAGTTAGTGCCAATACTCAAACTACAGTTCATGATCTCTGTGTCACGACTCATTCTGATAGCGAGTATAGTTCTTTAGGAAGGAAATATCCTACTAAACACTACTTACTAGCATCGCCTGCTGGTCTGAAGGATAGAGTTTATGGCAATAGATCTAATAATTCCAGTTCCGTATCCGATTATGTGCTGCTACCAGGTTTATCAGGAGGCGAACATAGGACCCGCTTTTCTATGAAATCAACAGATAGTGATAACTATCTTCGTCTGGACATACCTACAACTACTACAAGCTCAACTAGTCATTACGCTTGGTTACGTCACAGTCCTAGTCTAGCTATGTCGGTGGCATCTGCTCCAACCTCCAGGCTTTATTCTTCGGGAGTGTTAACAGAAGCAGAAAGCATGGAATCATTATCATCTACAACATCTAGTGTACATGCTCAGGTAAGTTTCATTGATACAGTGTATATTGACTTAATTAAAACTAATTTTTATATCGAAATATTTTCAGATACAACACGCTCGTGCCAATAGTTTAACACATGCGCGCCTGATGATGCACCAAAGAGAATTATCCTCATCTCCAAGATTGTCACGGTCTAATTCGATTCGATCCACAAAATCAGAAAAATTGTATCCATCCATGTTGCAGAGATCGGATGATCTAGATTCTGCAATAGGTTGCAGTGCTTCGTTATCAGGATATTCTGGAAACGGCAGTGGCAGCTCTCATACCAGTCAACCTACCTCACCCATTTCTTTAACGCAGGTAATTTTTAAAAACAAAGCTTTAAAAAATGAATATATTTTGAAAATTTTAATATTAAAGCCATGCTTTCCTCAGGGTTGTGCTCGTTTGTTTCCATTATCTCACATGAATCCCGCTGTGACTACATCAAATCCAACTCAGACCAATAGCAGGAGTTCTAACACGATGTCTCATTATATGGGTGGTTTGTTATCAAAAATTGGAAATAAGGACGATGACAGTAAGTTTCATTCTTTAGAATAAAATAAAATTTTAATATTCTGAAGACAAACAGAATCAATACTTATCCTTTCAGTTCATGGATCGTCGTTATCTTTAGTATCCACAACTTCTTCTATTTATTCAACGGTGAGTTTCTAATCGAATTACATTTTGCATATTAATATCCATCTTAACCGATATTTTATGAAATTAGGCCGAAGAGAAGCAAGCACACGAAATAAAAAAGTTGAAGAGAGAACTGGAACAAGCACACGAAAAAGTAACTACCTTAACATCTCAACTAACCACTAACGTAAGTACAGTTTTCATATTGCTAATGATTAAGTATCGTATTTAAATATCGATAATTCCATTAGGCACACATGGTAGCAGCATTCGAACAATCGCTCTCTAATATGACTACAAGATTACAACATTTAACAGCGACAGCAGAACAGAAAGTAAATACGTTTATCCTCATTTTATTTTATTGTTACGGCGATAGCAATCATAAATTGTTGTCCTTAATATGCCTTTTTTTTTTTAGGATTCAGAACTGAATGAGTTGAGGAGTACCATTGAAGCATTGAAGAAACAGAGTGCGGAAGCCGGATTGACAAAGATGGCCCTGCAATCCATGCAGGCAGTCCAGCGAAGTACGGGTGTTCCTAACTTAGTTCGCCGTCACACATTTAACACTACTAAGGATACTGGTATGATGTCGACTAACACTAAAGCAAACCTCGAAGTGGCCGCTAATTCGTCATATTTCTGCATCGAGCTATTTGCTTTGGAGGCCTTTAGAGCAGTTTCTAAATAGTTTTTTCTATGCATGTTAAATGGCGGAATGAAAGCCGAAAAAAAATCTGATTTAAACTAATTGTTATTTTTATTGTTGTTTGTTTTTTTTTTGCATTTGTTTACCGCTCACGTAATGTGGCTATGTAGTAATAATTTTCATTTCTATTCTATCGCTTTGTTTCTACCCGATTGTCAGTCGGCTTGTGTTAAAATATCAAACACAACAACAATATAACAGAAACATATTTTGATCCAGAGATGAATTACGATTTTAAACATTATTGTTTCATTTCAGCACTTCAGGAGAGCAGAATATCGCGCCAATTTTCTACGGAATCGATGTCGAGTGCTAATTCTCTATCTAGCACATCAATCAAGAATGCCGAATCAAATTCAGCAAAGAAGAAGAAGAAAAAGAGCTGGGTGAGTGTAAAATTTAATCATTCGGTATCAAGTGTAACTTTCAATTTAATGCCAGAATTAACATTTTGTAACGATTTCATTATTTGAAATGGGCTACTAAAAAGAGAGAAAAAAAAAATGCAATTTAAGGAAACTGTAATAACGATTCTGAAAGTCATTTAAGCACTTTAAAAATTTGACCCTGTTCATTTTCTAATCTAGTGTTATAATATAATACTATTTCTTTTCTAGTCTCTTGAGAGTTTGTCCACTCCACTTCAGATCATCGATCCACATCCTTTCAGTTCTCCCTCCTATATTAGCTCTAGCTTATTTCAAGCTATTCGATGTAATATAATCTCTTGTTGAGTTTCCATGTCTTTTTTAGCTACATAATATTATTTTGTTTGGTGACCCAACTAGTTGAAATGTAATAGTTTTAAGTTTTAAACATGCATATTATTTTTTAGTAAATGTATCCTTAGAATAAAACAAATTTTACGTAAAAGAAAGATCGCGAGAACTAATATAATTCTTTTTCTAAGATGTTTCCTTTTATATATTTCGCTCGAATTTCTTTCACTTTGACTCTCAGCTGCTCTTAAGTATATTCAAAGAAGTTTCCATGAATTCCAAAAATACAATATATATCATATTCTTAACTTTACGTACATTTTAAAACATGTTTTTGCTCTTAAGCAAATATAATAAATGGCAATGTCTTCGGGATTGACTCCAATTTCACATTACTAATGCATGTAACTCTATTATTATTATTTAAAACAACTGGCATTAAAGACACGAAAAAGTTCTAGGAATAGAATGAGTTATGCTTTGTGAATAGGTTTAATTTTCTGATTTATTGATGATAGTACTTTTTAAATTGTAAATAAACTGTATCGAACATAAACATTCAAATCATGCGTATTGCAACATTGATTCTTAATTACCGAAATTTAACAATCCTCACTTTTTTTTTGAATTTCAGTTTAAAAGTTCGTTCAGTCGAGCCTTTTCTAGAAGCAAAAAGAATAAAAATGGTTCAGTATCCGATGTAGAAGATACGCGACAATTTCAGTCTGATTCCTCCACACCAAATTCTCCACTTCTGGGATCCTGCCATCATCTAAGCAATGGAAACATAGCGCAAAGTTTGAAATTATCCCATTCGTCATCGGCGTAAATATCGATATTATAAATTATGAATAAATTGTTTTNAGAAGTTTGATCTAAGTTCTTTTTTTTTTAATTTTTAACTCAATTCAAAGCAGTTTTTTTTTCTTTATCGTCATTTTATGCAATTTCCAGTAAGCTTTAATATAGTTTTTCTATTTGTGAAAATTTCTACGTAATTCAAAGGTAATTTTTAATATATATCTTACACAGCATTATTATGATTTTGGAGGTTACAGAACGTATAATTATTTTTCGTTTTTTAAAGTGATTTAATATCATTTGATTTCATATTTTGTATATCTTAACAATAATTAATTTTGTCCCGGATTTCCCCGGATCCGGGGAAACAGTTCACATTTATCCCGGAATCCCGGGACAAGCAAAAGACCGGGAAATGAGAAACCCTAGTTCTAATATTATGTCTTGTTAACGTTTCTTCTAAAAAAATCATACTGATAATGATAAAGGTTTAAAGATAATCGAAGACGGCCGAATGACCGAGCGGTTAAATATCTTCCAGTAAAGCACTGCGATAAAATAATCTCTAAATCTTTAAACAGTTTTTTAAAAAAGTATTTTTGATTTTTATGCGATGAAATTTGTAGTATATATGTTCCCCATGAAAAATATCAAAAAGTTGGGTATAAAATTTTTATGACGTTCAGTACGAACGTTATAAAAATTTTATACCCAACTTTTGAGCTGAGTGGCGATTTAAACAACTAACTATTTGATAACGACTAAAATAGAGAAAAACTACATTTACTTTTTCTCGTCTAAGTTTTCGTTATTAAAATAAATAAAGCTTATCACTAAATAGTACGGAAATAACCATTCCAAAATCAAATAGGCCCATCAATGGCCGAGTGGATAAAACCACTAAACACTGGTAGTTCGTGGTGGGTTCGCGCCTGGCCAAGGCCAATGGGCTGGATACGTGGAGTTTATCGGGTTTTCTTCACGTTAGTAACACCTAAATAGGGCCCAGTTTCTCATAAAAAGACCTCTCTGGAGGCATTTTTCTGGGCAAGACCGCCCAGGGAAAATGCCTCCAGAGTCACGTAGCCGTAATCGAAAAAATAAAACACTATAATCATACAAATGTTTTATTTACTTGTTTAAACGAGTAACGTTCCCAACTTCGTCACAAACCCCCAATAGATTTCACGTTCAAGCCAAGACCGAAGCTTAACCTCACATTTAACAAGCACGCCATTTATCGGAAGAGTTAAAACCACGATTCACTAGTTTTTCTCGTCTATAAACATTTCAATCGAATATACGCAAATTTCGTTGTAGTTTGTAAACTTAGCCTCAAAAGATTCAGCCCCTTTGCCACTAATTTGGTAGCAATGTAAAAATTGAAATAACTTTTAAGGATTTTAGTTAATAGTGTTTCAATTGGATATATTAAATTAAAAGACCGTAAACATACCGTATTTCCTCGAATCTATGTGAGACAAGTTTCAAATCAATTAAATTTTTTTTTTTAAAATAATTGGTTCTTATCTTGTGATCTTGGAAAATTTTTAAAACAGAGATGCCATGAAAGAGCTATTTCATATAAAGTAACTATAGTGTAGCATTAAAGTATAATGCATTTTAATTTACTCATAACGTTTCAATTCAAATGAGCTCTCCTGATAGTAGTATGCATCACTAAAACACAAATTTATTGTTTTGGACTGTGAAAAATTGGATGAAAGTAGTACTGTACATACAGAGGCGGACTAAGGCTAAAGCGGGCCCTAGGCAACATTGTAATTCCGGGCCTATTTTTAAAATTAAAAAATTAAAAACCTAATTTTTGGGGCCCCAAAAATTACGGGCCCTAGGCACGTGCCTAGGTTGCCTAGGCCTTAGTTCGCCCCTGTGTACATAGCAGAGTGGAGTCGAGGAAATACGGTATTTATGTTTTCATTAAGATGCTTCCTTTCATTAGGGCATTAATTTCTACAGAAAAGAGAGGAATGTTAAGATTAAAATCCACCTATTATAAAACAAACCACTAAAAACAAAATTATTTATAACGTTTTGGTAATAAAAATATTTTCAAGTAAAATTTAATTATTAAATTCCATTTAATGTATTTATTTAGGATAATTCAAAGAATTAATGTTGTCCTTAACCCATATACACAAAAATTATTCCAACAGAATTATGACTCTGGACAGCTGCAATATACTTTAACTTTTAATGTGACATTTAACTTGACAAATTATATTTTTTGTAATAAAAAGATTTAATTAATTGTAAACAAAAATACATTTATATTTTAAAGATACACTGGATGTAACTTATGATTTACACTTATCAGATCTGATTAAATAGACAAATAATCTTATTTAATAATAATAATAATAAAAAAGCATTCTTCACTTAATAAATATTGCACAAAACAAAAGATATGGCCATTTTGAAATATGTAATTTGAGAATTTTCTAGTATTAGTAATTGGTATGGATTATAAATATTTGGTGTGGCTTGAAAGAAAATGACTATACCAAATACTATTTTACTAATTTACCAAATACCAGTTTACTTTTAGAGATAAACTTGTTTTAGAAAGTCATGAATGTTGTAGATTAATTCACTTTATTATATTATTATTTTTTTTAAACTCTAATGGACAAATTAACCAAAGCTCTGGCACTATCTGCAGTTTCTTATAAAACCCGAAAATTTACACGTAAAAGTTCCTAATAACTCTCTGAATAGTTCTCCTGCAAATAGGGCATGGTTTGTTTTGATTTTCTAGATGACGGGCACAGGGATAGCAACACATCTGGTGACCTGTCCTTCCATGGACGATGATGGCAGTCTTTTCTTTTTGCAAACAGAGAGGACACACGTTGAATTCTTTGTCTGCTGCTGCAGAGGGGGGAACAGAGTTGCAATCTGTTTTGTCACAAGAATCAGGAAAACTTTCTATACTAGGATTTTCACACAGTTTGATTGGTTGTATGGATGTTTCACAGTCTGTCATACTTTTGTGTATATCATAAGACGTACTGGCTGGATAAAAATTATCCAAATTTACATCACCTACACTTTTGAAGGATTCTTCTTTTTCCAGTTTTGCTTCTAAATCATCATTTACCATCTCTGGTTTGGAATCAGTGTTCTTTCTTTCCTATGTGCAAAAATATGAATCAGAATAGAACAATTAAATATCAGTTTGAAAAAATGCAAATTACCAATTTCTGATTCTTATTCATTCTGCGCTTCTTTCTATTTTTCCGAGGAGGCGGAGGATGATGTCTGCGATTTTCCGGTAACCATCCTATTCTTTCATCCCAGCACTTTTGACAATACCTCATGGGTGGTGGATTTAAACTTTTGCAACGACTACAAGTCCATTTATCCTAATTAAATGATAATATCAAATAATATAAAAACAAGTAAGGCTCTGTCATTGAAATTGATTTAAATATTCATACTCCTTCTTCTAGTTCTGGGTCAGTTGAAAAATCATCCTCATCAAAGCTATCATCAGCCCAGAATTCCATGTCGTCATCATCTTTACATATTAACACAGCATTTATAACATCCTAAAATATGATAAAAATTATACATGAAAATGAAAATATCATCAAATATTCTACTAAAAAAATATATATATAAACATACTTCAATGTCACTATCTGTATCAGACACTAAGCTTCCTTCCATACTTGACTGCGAGCCAAGCTCATACTCCACTGAAAAATAATCATCATCATCTTCCACCTCTACATCATATTCATCCTCTTCTAAAAACCAAAGATCATCAGTTGAATCTTTAGCTAGGGCTGTTTCTTGACTCTGAAATTTGATAAAACTATATTATATTTATATTTAAAGCAAAATTTTTTACTATCAAGTGCAAAATCAAATTATATTAATAAAAAAATTATCCACATTCAATATGTATTAATCTGTAGCTATTAGGATAACTGTATAAAAATAATTACAAAATATTAACGTAAGTTACCCAGAACTCTGAAACTTTGCATCATGTTGTTTTGTTACAATAGTAAAAAACTGCAGAAACTGAAATCATCAGGAAGTTTTCACATAATATAATAATTTAAAATAATTTTATCAATAATTATTATTATTGCTACACCAATTATAAAAAAGTTTTCCATAATTGAAGATTATCATGAATTGTTTCCTATGAATTAACATTTTACCTTATGAAATTGAGATTGTCAATAGAAAGTATTGAAACAATTAGAATTTAGTTTTTTTTTTGTGTGTTAATACATATAATAGTTATATTTATTGTGTTTATTTTATTATATTTAGACAATTCAAAATGATTTTGATGTGTTTCATATCAGAAACAAATCCAAATTAGAGCAAAGATACTAAAACTTAAATAAAACATTAGCAAATTTAACAGTAATATAATTAATACGGAGTTTAATTCAGAGATGCTATTCTAGAATAATTTTTGAAGCTAGTACCAATGGTCAGGCAACATTAAAGATTATTGTTAAAAGATAAATTTTCAAAAATAGTATGAAAGGTTTTTGTATCCTGTACTGTTTTAAATGGAATTTATTCCTGATGATATGAACAATATATATTTTGGCAATTCAAATGTTTTCAATAATATATTTATTATATAAATTGGGCTTCTTGCTTATGTATTAATACAAAAAAAAAACATGAATTTTAAAACTGTTGATCTGCATTTGATGTATGCTGTATGAATTATTCCTTAGTTGAAAAAAATGTTTATATGTATGCAAATTAATATCTAAAAAAAATTAATTTATGATTTGTTTGTTTTAATTCACACAATAAGTGTCAATATTATTCAGAATAGTTATAAATATATTATCAGCAAATAATTTACATTTGTGAGTACATGGTTAATAAACTGTGATTAAAATGTTAATCATAAAAGAATACAATTAAATGAGAACAATCAGATTAATATTTTAGATGTTAAAATTAAGTTTGAATAATAAAAATAAAAATTATTTCATAAACTACATAACATCGAAATTACAAGAAATTTTTGCTATTCTTTTCTATACAACTCTACCAATCAAATTATCCTGAGGTTTTAAACAATGCATGTAAAATCCCATTCTTTATTCAATAACTTACAGAACATTAACAAAATGTTTATAATAATTATTGCTTAATATTCAATATTCAGCTTTAATAAATATTAAATGAATCTGTAATGTGTATATATAGTTTTTGATAAGTCAGTTTAGTGCCCATATTCTAGACTCTAGTAACCATATTTTACAAATAACAAAGTGAACACTTTACATATATTCATTTTTCCAGTCTTAATGTGTTGGAATTATTCTCTTCGAACCTTCTCTGTTCTAATTTTCAAATTATTCTTCTACAATTTCCAACTTCAAATCATTCTGAAAATTTGTGATGCAATCTAGTTACATTGGAAACAAGAATCAGTGGATTTAATTTATTAAAAGTTACAAAGTGCAAACTAAGAATATGCTACAAGCATTGTTCCTAATATTCTTACACTGAGCTGAAATTTCACTTATGGAAACAAATATCCATTTGTCAGATTTAATGGAGATTATTGTTTGTAAGAGTTTATGTACAGTAGATAATAATGAAAAATTCTCAGAGATTAAACTAATCAAATTCCAATAGATATGAGATAATTATGTATTTTTGTAATGCAAGTATTAAACAATTAAAAACATTCTTCACTATTTTGTATTTGCATCAGTCCTCTTAGCATTTCAATACAACATTTTTTACCAAATCAAATTTGCAACATATACAATTCATTCTGAAAATGTTGGATGTCTTATATGTTATGAAATTTTTTTGATAAAGTTATTTAAAAAACAAACTTTAGAAATTTCAAATTAATGATAACATTGTATTAGTTGAATGCAATTAGAACATCTTTATGCAAATGTCAAAGAACAATTCTTATAATAGACAATCTATTTACAATCTATTATATAATATAATAGATTGTAAATGATAAAATTTTCAAATGCTTCTCTGAACATATTTTATGCATAAAAGATATTTGAATTTTTAACAAATATTCTTATATTTCTCATCAATTTGTTTTCTAGTCTTCTTAAGTTTGTGGTCACATGCAATTTACAAATGGATTTCATAGCCAATGTTTCATTATTTATTCAGAAAACATATCCATGCCTTTCAACTTTATTTAAAAATAAAGTTCAAAAAATAAGACTACTTGGCATCCTTGTCACTAAGAATATATTAAAACCCCTCAATTTTTGAGCTTTATTTTTGAAAAATAAATAATTATATTCTTAGTAATAGGATACCAAGATCTTTCTTGACATATTGATTATGTAAATGGAGGAAAACTATAAAATAAACTGCATTACATGGAATTTGTATATTCTCTTACCTTTCTCACCAAGATGATATAACATTTGAAATAAAACTAGGTGATAAATAAATACATTAACAGTTTTAAAAAACTGAAATCATCTAAAGATAATATCAAAAAACATATAATGAATGTTCTTTCACATCACAAACTTTCTTGACCAAAGAATAAAAAATATACAAAAAACAGTGTACTTCATTTTAGATAAAAACAGATTAGTTAAAAAAAAATATCTTTATTTTAAAATTTGGTAATTCTGAAATAAAATCAGCTTCATCAGGAGAGACATACCTTGCTGTTTTATCAATTTGTAATTTATGTCCCAGAAAAAACTTGATACAAATTAAAATTTAATATATAAAAATGTATATATAGTATAAAAATTTACATAAACTTAAAAAATTCATAAATGTATAACTTGAAGATTTGTTAATTATTATTATTATTAATTAACAGCACATAATTGAAGAAAGAAATGTCAACAACTTAATCTATTATGCTGGTGCAAATAATGATTAAAAACAATGTTTGAAACACTGGTTAAGACTGATAATGATAACAATAACAAATAACTGATAAGAATTATCAGTCACATGTTGAGACTATCTTCAGATAAACAGGAAAGTATTTAATGATAACCAAAACCAAAACTCTGATGATAATAAGCAAAAAGTTTTATAACTATTTTTACTTTTTTTTTTTTTAATATAATTCTGATACCATTAAATGACCGATAATACTTGCAATTACAACAAATGGATGTTGAAGTATTTTCAACTTTATAAATAGCCTTTTTCATAATACAACTGTTTTTTTTTTTTAAAGATATTAATTCTATTTGTTGTGATGATTAAAACTTAATCTTATTAGGAGGGAAAAAACATATGGGATCATAGTTCTTATTAAACTGATTTTTAATGCAAGACTTATGAGTCCATGTGTTTTTTCCTCATATAAGTAATTTTTAATCATCCTAACAGAGGTTGATAATATCAATTTGGCCAATCAGGTTTATGTCATAATATAAGAAACAAACATTATACTTTGCCGGAACAAATTCTCTAAATATTTAAAAAGTATAGACAGACTGGGAAGACGTCAGACAAAAATTAGATGAGGAGAAAATATAATGTGCAGAGAAATCTTTGAATTAATAAAATCTTACCATCAACTTGCTACCAAAATATATTGTATTTGAATTTTTCATCTTTATGTTTATTTTTGATTCAAAGTAAGTACTTCTAAGGATTTAATAGATCCACATCTAACTTTTCAAATGATAAGGACTATCATTTAGACTTGAAAAACAAAAATGTTGAATTTTAATTGTTGATTTATAAAAACTTACATTTAACTCATTAAAATATTTTCATTATTATTGTTAATATAATCATGAATTCTTCAGAACAAGTGGTTTTCTTCATAAAAAAAATCATGTTCAAAACAGAAACCTGCCAAATCGGAAAAAATATTTGGTACTGTGTGTCCAGTTTACACAGGTTTTACTGTATATTAACAACATATTGTGTATTAACTAATGGTTACATTGTTTTTCATAATTATTTACAAAACTTTAATTACATTATAAATGAGTCTAAGTTACAAATTCCAAATAAAATCAAAAACTAAAAACACCTTTATCCAAATTATCTATTTGAATCCCATTACAAATTCCATTAACTTTCAACTTCCTTAATCATAGTACATATTATGAAATGTATTTGCATTTACAAAATGTTGAATTAAGTTTTGTTTGTGTTATTTTATTAATAATATAAAAATTATTTTGAACTGCAGATCATGATATATTAAAGTTACAGCTATCTTCCACAACATTAACTCATCTTCTCCATAGTTTGTGCAGATCAAAGTAAGCACAACACAGGAGCATTCTGTAATGATACATTTATGGTTATTAGTCATATCAAATTTAAATCTGTATATAAACATATTGATAGCAACAATATTTTATTACTACACAAGTAAGGCTAAAAGGGTGAGGAACTTAGGTTAGATTTATTTACTGTTTAATACATTCAGCCCAATATTTTTGATAGTCAAGTTTCCCGAAGGACGAATGAAACAAATTAAAATGGATTAAGATTTATTTTGTCTGTATACAATTGCTGGCGTTCCAGTATGATTTGTAATTTATTTCATAAATCTCCTCTCTATGTGACTTGGAAATTAAATTTATATTGCTGAATGTATCAAAATATTTAATAATTATATTATTTTTAAATTACTGGCAAGTCTTAGAATAAATTCATAATATCACAAATTAAAGAACTTAATTATAAAATTATATTTAAATGTAAAGCATCACTCATACTTTTGATTGTAAGGAAAAGAATGATTCATGGGTTAATTATATTTAGTCATTAATACATATTCAATAATGAATTAGCAAAGAATATCTTTTCAATCTTTAAAATAAATAAAA